ATGGGGTTTCCCGTGAGTGAAGCCTATAGTTTGCCAGTGAACGCGAAGTCCCTATTAGGATCAGTGATGGCCAACCTATGTGGAAGTCACTAGCTATTACACATGGCGATGGTGGAGGTAGCCAGCCAGAGGATAGTAATCGACAAAGCCTTCTCGATACCCAAATGCGTACGCCTGGCTCAAATGTCGCATCACTCGCACAGGTTGAGATAAATCCTGGAAACTGTACTGGGAGAACAAAGAGATAACTTGAGTGAGATCTCGGGGGAAGAACTCTTGAGTCTGGAAGGTGAGAACACGAGTGATTTCGAGAGACACAATATGATCGGGAAACCGATGAACAGTACCCCAGCCCTGGAGAAGAATGATGTGACACACGAAAAAATGATGCAGCTAGAACCTCTGCTGGAAGCTTCGGGCGAACGCAACCTCCGGAGTATCGACCTCATGCATGGGGAATACCCGTGTCACTGTCTGGCACAGACGGTGTTGTATCCGGAGCACTCGAACCTCTGCCTGATATGGGACGTGGAGGAAGTTCGGTCAATCGGGTTACCCGATCATCGACAGAAGGTCACCCTCCTGGTTGTGAGTTCAATGCTGGCGTTGCGATGGATGGAGGAAATATCGAGAGTCGAAGGCACCGACAGCGGAATCGATACACGCTATTGATTACAGCAGGAGGCTTGAGTTGTTTGAGACTGCGTGCAAACTAATCGCTATACAAATGGAGGTCAGGCACGCGTGGAGCCGCATAAGATTCTTCCCATGGTTTCGAGCGATATTGACGTCTTGGTTATATGCGGTGAGGAAGGATAACATGAAGAAGCATCAGAAAGATTATCGACAGTTCCCGGCTGAGATAGGGCCGGAAGCCTTCAGGAGACCCTTGCTGACCCATCGTAATGCAATCACTACGGGTTGGAAGAGTGTTGGTAGGGTGTCTAGAGATAATACCAAGGCGAGGGAGTCAATATTGGAGGAGGAATTAGCGAAGAACGTGAGCTTGAGCTTTCATAACTCTTTTTGCTTGAACAGGGAATCTAAAGTGAAGGGTTTGCCGAAACAGGCGAAGATATTGCAAGATCAGAGGGAATGGATGCGATCCTACGAACAACTAAAGGCTTGGGAAGAGATAGTGATCAGCTCCGACGATGAGGAAGCGCTGCTGAGGCAGATTACAATGTCGAATGCATCAGGGCCTAGCACCTCAAGGGCGAGGAGCACGAAGTGAGCAGGATGCTCAGTGTCGGATTCTTGAGTCTTGAGAGGGAAAGGAAAGAGACTTGAGTGCCCAGCCCCAAAACTCATTTCACAAGCTGAATTTTGTTCATTTAAAACTTCTCGTGTCAAACAGGATTACCAATTGAGCTAGAGTTACTTGTTAATTTAGTTACTCATTTCTAGAGAGTGCGCCGGTATGTAAGTACCCAATTTAAGTTTCTTGAGTGTGTTTTATAATGTTATGTTGACGTAAGGAGAGTTTTAGGTTGATCCATCTGAAACAGATCAAAGGTCCACTCTCTGATAAAAAGTAACTATACGGATTGTTCCGACTCTGTTTTTGACGGCGTTCGCGTGTTTTATGTATTTTGAGACCTAATTATGGGGACGTTCTTATTTTGTAGAGTGGGGGGTATTTTGGTAGTGGCCTTTAAGCTGTAACAAAGGTTTTAGTCTCATGTCGCAAGTGAACCGAATTGGCTGCGACCGTTCGAGGTAGAAAAACACAAGAGATAGTGTCCCTGACCCTTGAGCCAATGGTTATAGGGCCAATTTTTCTTTAACCTCATGTGTGACTCAAGTAGGCGACTGTTACACTAACTCTTATTCTATTAACGTGGGACTACACCGAAGTGCCCAAACACCCAGTGACGTCGTTCATTATTGAGTACAGAATATTTGAGACAAAGGAAGAGTTCGAATACGTTCACGACGGATTGCAGCCTGTATTTAGCTGTATTTAGACAACCGCGTATTCATACCCGTCAGTATTTAGGCAAATACTGTATGAACCAAACAGAATCGAGAAAACACATAAATAATACAGAAGAAATCATAATAATTCTTTAATAACTTCTTCTTTGTCTCGATTCTGATTGGTTGAAACAGTATTTTTCTATATTCTGACGAGTTTGAATACGCGGTTGTCTGAATACTGCTATGTAACCGTTCACGACATTCGCAATTTGGATAATGTTCGAGATAAACGATGAGTTGATTTTCCAAACCTGAGGAAGGGTCTCCAGTACACTTTTAGGGTGCAGGCTCGAAACTTAAACGGATTCAGTTTGGAGAGCGAGGTCCGAATCATTGCCGTTCCTGCTACTTTACGACAAACATTTTCGCACTAGGACAACACAACCGACAGAGCAGACAGACGACAGAGCTGACAGACGAAAGAGCAGACTGGCGGAAGAGAGGCCTGTTCAGGTGTCCTGATTGCTGACTTTTGGTCCAAGTGCAGCTGTGTTTTTCTCGACACCCGACGTTTTTGGATTTTTCCCGGTGTCACCAATCTCCAATTAAAAAATGTAAGAAGTTTCCACAACTTTTAAAACTCCAATTGTGCTATAAATTTATGTACGATGTACTATATGCTATAGTTTTTTCCGCAAGCTAGCACCCGGTAGTTTTTCTCAATACCCAAGATTTTTGGACTGTTTTGTTGAACTGAAATACCTTAAAGTCGGTTAATAGACAAACTGACTTGACATTTTTTCTCGATACCAATTTTTTTTTTGATATATGTGAACGGAATATTAATTCGTGAAATCGGAACATATACAAGAGGTACTGGACTAGTTTTTGGATTGGTTTATGACTCGTAGCCGCTGATCAAAATTTTCCGAAAAATTTTGTGCAAAAAATTTTGAAAAAATGTCAAAAAATCCTCAAAAGTCCCCAGAATTCTGCGAAACTGTGCTGTAAGATGACACACACCTTATGTTAAGTGGTCTGATAGCGGAATATCAGGCAAATTAAGTTGAGTTCTTTCATCCTCAGGTTTCTTCCGCGTGCGTTGTTGGAACTTAACCAATTTGCCTGATCCCCCAGCCACCTTTGGTGAAATTGAAAGCACGTTCGCTTCAAGTAAATCGAAGCCATTTCTGCCCGTCCGATTATTGACTTTGTTGCGTGACAGTAATGTTAAGTGGTCAGGTACGGTGATATCAAGTGAGTTAAGCTGAAGTCTTTCATCCTCAGGTTTACTCCGTGTAAGTTGTTGGAGTTCAACCGACCTACCTAACTTTCCAACCCCATTGATACTTAAGCGTAACGTAGCCGTCACATAGGTCCCTTAAGTATATGGTATTCATTCTATGAACTGGTTCTTTGGATCACGCGAACTTCTCGCTCCGTCTCAGAAGCGCATCAAAGATACTTGCTTTACAAAGCCAGGTTTATGTTTGAAATTTAACGCTAGGGACTCACAGAAAACAATACAGTACTACCTTCATCACTACTTGTCTCACCGTAACGACCTTGTAATTTGGCACGAAGCCATTAATAAATCGATAATTAGGCACATCAGCAACATTAACCGCAAGCTGTGTAGTGAGCAACTTGTCAATTTGTTTTTAAGTTATCGGACAAATTTTTGCGCGATCGTATACCGTAGACGAAACGGAACCGAGGATATAGAGGAAAGTTTTGTTTCAACAGGTATTCTCGTTCTGAATGCGTCAAAGACTTTATCTCTAAGCGTAAGGCTAAGGACCAGGTACTAATTGAGGAGTACAAAGAGCTTCACCAGCCTCCTTCCCTTGAGTTAAAGACTCTCCTCCTTCTAAGGCGTTATATCCTTAAGACGCGTAAGAAGCTTACCGCTTACCACTCAAAGCTCGAAAAGCTGTAGAAAATAGGTTCCAGGCGGAATATTTGAAATGTCAAGTTCCCCCATCTTGTAAAATAAGGTTGATATTTTAACGTAAATTCAATTACATATCTAAACAGTATCTCATTTTATTAATTGATTTCTATTTAGTGAGCAATATAAAATATTGTCAATTTGTGAAAAACATGGACAAAAAATTTCAAAATAGGATACGCAAGTTATTTGAAACCCGTCTAAATTTAGGAAATGAGCTGCTTAAAGGTCACTCATTATTACTTGAGTACATTGAGAACAATAGTCGCACCGCAAAAAATGACAAAGCTGTTTACAAATAAAAAATTTTGTTGGAAAAAGCTGATGACGTAAATGAGCAACTAACTGTTGTTATAAAAAGGAGTTGATCTCTATTCCTGATCTCAATTCAACCAATGGCTACACGACATTACTCTGAAACCAGAAACAATTATGATTAACAAGAAATCAACAGTTTAGTCATATATACTCAACACTTCTCCACGTTGATTACTTTCATTCATCAGGATATATTCAGTGTTTCTAAGAAACTGGTAAACAACATAAGCTTCGGGAGAGGTTTGGTCATGCAGTCTGCCAGCATCTCATGAGATCTACAATATTCGATAAAAATTTCTCCAGATAACACTTTCTCACGAGTAAAATGATAAGCAATATCGATATGTTTGGTACGTTTATGAAACTTGGGATTTTTGGCTAACTCGATTGTACCACGGTTGTCTTCATAAATTTTGGTTGACTCGGTTTGCTGAAAACCCAGCTCACTGAAAAACCGTCTCAGCCAAATTGCTTCTTGCACACATTCACAGAGCGCAACATACTCAGCTTCAGTTGTTGAACGTGCAACACATCGCTTTTTATGCAATTTCTAGCTAACACAACAATTCCCAATAAAGAAAACGAAACCGGAAGTGGAAATTCTATCATTGATATCATTTCCCCAGCTAGCGTTTGAAAACCCAGTAAGAATAACTTGCTTCTGTATTGAAGCTGAACAACACAACACAGTAAAACAAGTCAAACATCTGAGAACTCGTTTTAAAGCCCCCCAATGTTCTTCTCCGGGCTTACACATAATTTGGCTCAATAGACTAACTGCAAATGACAAATCTGGTCTTGTGCCGGTCATTCAATAAAGCAACGAGCCAGCTGCAGGCTGATAACTAGACTGTAACTTCTCTGTCTCACTTTCATCAAGCTTTTGTTGCTTTAATTTGGCTTCCATCGGTGTGGCAGCAGGATTGCATTCTTCCAACCCGATCTTGTGGACTACACTGACTGCACAACTTCTCTGACTAATCTTACAAGAACGCTTCTCTCTGTCTCTGTTGATGGTCATTCCCAACAAATGATGTACTTCTCTTTGATCAACAAGATCAAATCTGCTCGCTAATTTTCTTTTCTGCTGCAATAACGCTTCAAAATTATTGGAAACTACTATCATGTCGTCGACATAAACAAGGATAAAAACAAACACGTCTCCATCGAACTTTTGTATGTACACACACGAGTCAGCATTCAACTGAGTAAACCCAGTTAGCTTCAGAAACTCGTCTAACTTAAGATTCCAGCAACTTGATGCTTGTTTCAAGCCAATTAAACTCCGTAACCAACGACAAACCCACTCTGGATGAGCTTCATCCACGAACCCATCTGGCTGCTTCTGAAAGATTTCTTCTTCCAGATCTCCATTCAGAAATGCCGTCTTCACGTCCAATTGATGAACGGACAATTCAAGAACTGTTGCTATCGCTAAAATTACAGAAATTTTTGTATGCTTGACAACAGGTGAAAACACTTCGTCGTAATCAACCCTCGTTCCTGACTGAATCCTTGAGCTTTCAAACAAGCTTTGAATCTTGAAAAGATGTCATCTGAATTTCTCTTTACTTTGAAAACCCATTTGGTTCCTTTTGGAAACGATCCATCCTACTCTCTCGAGGAACTGATTGCCACGTCTTCATCTTCGTAAGAGACTGAAACTCAGTTTCCGCTGCTTTCATCCACTCCTCAGAGTGTGCGGAAATGAGAGCTGACTTCAGTGTCTTCGATTCTTTGACTACCTCATTCGCGACACAGCACACTGCTGCGGGCTTCCTTCTTCGCTTGTCTGGTAGGTTTCCAAGTGAATTCATAAACGTTCTCTCGTACGTCGGCTGCACTTGTGGTTCTTCAGTCACTGTTTCAAGTACTGGCTCCTCCTGAACCACAGTGGTATCGTCTGGTATTGTCTTGGCACCTTCTTCATCTTGCACAATTTCTGTCGTAATCTGTTTCTGCTGGCTAGAAAACTCTTCTCCTCCTGACAGTTCAGTGACAAGGAAACTATCTTTAAGTAACTGACTCTCCAAGAATTTGACATCTCGACTAACAACAATGCTCATGAAGACACTGTCGTAAAATTTGTATCCTTTCTTGTGATCGGGATAACCATCAAACACACAGTTCTTCGACTTGTGCATCCAACTTCTTGCTCTTCTCTTTCGGTACATGCACCATCGCTCTACAACCAAAAAGGCGTAGGTTCGAAACATCAGGTTTTGTACCAAACCACTTCTCGTATGGTGTAACACTGTCGTTGCTCGGAAGACTTCTGTTCCGTATATAAACTGCAGTGCTGACTGCTTCCGCCCAGAAAGACTTGTCCAATTTCGCAAACGACAACATTGACTTTGCGGTTTCCAGTATTGTTCAGTTCATCCTTTCTGCTATTCCATTCTGTTCTGGTGTGTATGAGATTGTTGTCTGCTAAACTATTCCTCTCTCACTCCGCAACTTCTCCATTTCTTTCGAACGGTACTCTCCTCCATTGTCACTTCTCAGAATCTTGATTCGTCCCTCTTTCTGATTCTCTGCCATGTTGCAGAACTTCTTGAAAACTTCCGTGACCTCACTCTTGTGACTCATGAAATACACACGTACATACTTGGACTTCTCATCAATAAAAGTTACAAGGTTTCTCGAACCACCAAGTGAGTATGTTTTCATTGGTCCACAAACATCACTGTGCACAACTTGTAATAACTCTGACGACTGGTTAACTGACTTCGGAAACGATGTCTTGTGCTGTTTGCCATCTGCACAACTCTCACATTTGAGATTCTCGTACGCAACATTCCCCATCCCGAGAACTACTTCACTGCTTGCGGCTTTCTTCAACGACTGAACATTAACATGGCTAAAACGTCCATGCCACAATTTCATCAATTTCATGAGCTGTTTCGGACTTTGCTACTTCAAAACTCAAAACACTTCTACTAGCTGCTGATTTTTCAACAATTTTGCTGCCTTTCATGATAGTACATTGGTATCCGCTGAACAAAATCTGTGCTCTACGCTTCGTCATTGACGGAACAAGCAACAAACTACTGCCGAGATCTGGTACATAGAGAACATCGTGTAGCCGTACATTTGGTGTCTCTCCATTCTTCAGTTTGACTGATATATAACAGCGGCCATTAGCTCGGATAACGGCGTCGTTGCCCAACTTGACTGCTCGCGGAACTTCGTACTTCTTGTAATTGTCGATAAGATCTAAGATCGGAGTCATATGCTGAGATACTCCTGAGTCAATAATCCAACTACTCACACTAACTTTGCTATGCTTCGTCCAACACTTCAGCGCTATCTCTTCCTCCTCCTCATAGGCAAATGCAACTGCAACTGCAGCTTTTGACTGCCCTCCTTTCGCATCACCGTTCTTCCAGCAGTTTTTCGCAATGTGGCCTATCTTCCCACAATTGTGACACTCTTGGAGTCGAAGACTTCTGCTCTTTCTTCTGGAAACAATTCTTGGCCATGTGTCCAACTTTCTTGCAAATGTTGCATCTTCCACTGAACTTTATCATCGCTGTTCTGGCTTCTAGAACATTACTGCTTTCTGCTTTCTGTCTGCCGCACAAACTAGCTAATTCTTCACCATGTCGAAAGACATCTTCTCCTCGCCCATCACATCCAATGAAACAACCAATTACTGGAAATCTTCGTGTGGCAAGCTTTCAATCAATGTCATCGCTAGATCTTTGTCTGAGATCACTTCTCCCATATGTCGCAACTCCTCGTGCAAATTCTTCAAATCATTGACATGCTGTACAACGTCTCCTCCTCTCTCCTAATTGAGTGGGTGGAACCTCTTCCTCGGTCTACATTTCTGTGACAAAGAAACTCTGATAAAATGACCTAACAATGCGTCCCACGCAGCCTTGGACGTCTCTGTCCCCATCACATGGACTCTCTGTGAAGGTTCAACAGCTAAACAAACTGCTACGAGTGCTTTCCTGTCCTCACGCTGCCACGCTGAAACTGCAGTAGCATCTTCTGGTTGTGCTATGGTTCCATACACAAAATCAAACAAAACTTTGTCCAGCAAGTACCTCTTCATGTACCAACCCCAATCACGGTAATTGCTGTCATCTAGCTGTGGAAAATTGAACACTCTTGACTTTTCCATTCTGAACTAACTGTTCACAACCTGTTACTGACTGTAACCAAGAAATAACAGCAAACAATACCCAATTAACTGAATAAAACCAGCGAAGTAAGATTCTAAGTAAAACAACAAGAATACTACTCAAGAACATTGTCTGGGCCCATAACCTGTTGTTATAAAAACGAGTTCGTCTTGATCTCAAAACAATAAATGGCTACACGACATTACTCTGAAACCAGAAACAATTATGATTAACAAGAAATCAACAGTTCAGTCATATATACTCAACAATAATTAGGTTAGCGGGAAAAACGGAAAACCCTGAATAACCGAAATGATCGATAAAGTAATGCATGAAGCTCAGAGTTTTCAGCAGCAGGCATTACATTTTCAGCAGCCGGCATTACAGGGAGCAAGGGACCTTTAAAACAAACTAGGTCTGATACATCCTCACGCTCGCGCAAGACAAGAGATTCAGAAGCACGAATATCTGAAAACAGGTCTAAGGTCTCTAATAATTCTAAGGATAGTAAAAAGCTTGACTCAAATAAGTCTGATAAATCTGCTTCCACTCGTCATACGTCGACTGTTCGCACTATGTCATCAAGTGAGGAACGGCATGAGCTAGCTTTAGTAAATCGACGCAATGAGGAGCTGGAAAGAAAGTATCAAGTATCTATAAGACTTAAAGAGCAAGAGAACCGTCCTAAGTTCGAACAAAGTCAGCTGGAACTAGAGCAATTGGCTGAAAGTCATAAAAAGCAACTAATTGAAATGGAAATGAAAGCGTTTGAACTTGAACACATTTCATCTGAGGTTAGCGAGAAGGTAGCCAAAAGTAACTCGACATGAGTAAGTCAACCGATTTCAAAAGGAGCAACTGATCGGACTAAAGATTGCGTAGACTCTGTTAGTTCACAAGCGCCTCCTGACGTTGCTAGTGCGCCAGGTTTGCTGGCCTTCACTCCTGTACCAATTTCGTCAGAATCGACGACTTCCGCCAACCTCGATCAAGCAATTCACACCAGTAATAGTCATAAACAAGACCACACAGCATTGAGTGACCCTGGAACCTATAGTTTTGGACATCGGGCTATGCCTCAATTTGGCAGTGTAAGCCTTTTGCCATTGCAAGATTCTGTTCTATCTGTTTCATTCCCAGTTAACAATTTGCATTCTAGTGCACACGTGTTACCACTACCGTCTGCTGTTCCTTTGCAGACCATGAGTTCAAACGTAACTAATGGTAATTTTGCCATCGGGCAACCGGAATCATTACCTGTCCCAATGTTACCGGCACAACCCGGTTCTGGTTTTGTTTCTTTGTCACCTGCATTTGCTGGTGGTGGCTTCACATCTTCTGGAGTAAACCCAACGCCGGTTTTCTTTCTGCAGCACCTAATTGCCTTGCAGCGCCAGTTCTGACGCAACATAATATTCCCTTTGTACCGCATACTGTGTCACCTAATATCAACAATTACTGCACACGTGATGCAAAATTATGGCGACTGGCAGCTACAATCGTCACGCCTGCTCAGTGTTGTAATGCTGGGAACATTTTTTCAAATGTGACATTTGTTGTCCCACCGTGTAACACCGCCGCCCCGTATACTAGTGGTGGGACTGTGTATTTTAATTCTCCGCCAGTTCATCCTCAACATGTTCCGAATTTTGTCAATTATACTAATACTGGTTATCAGCCAGTCAACGAAGACTAAGCACCGTCTTCCGCTAATCCGAACCAAGGTTGTTTATCGGAGTGACCTCTCTCCGCTCGTGAACTCGCGGAATTATTGATACATAGCCGCAAAGATCATCTTCCTGAATGGAAGTTAGTCCAGTTTGACGGCAACCAGTTAAACTGTCACGAATGGTTTGGTCAGTTTAAGTGTACCATTGATTCCACTGTTCTCGCCGATGATACGAAACTGATATACTTAAAAACACTCGTCACAGGCAAAGCAAAAACCGCATTTGCGGAATTTAGTTATTGTGGCGTTATGTACAAGTATGTACTGGACACCTTGCAACGGAAGTTTGGGCAACCACACGCTATTGTTGGTGCGCATCTTGATAAGCTGAATACTTTTCCTCCGCTTAAGATGCACAATTCCAAAAAAGTCATTAGTTTCTCCTCTGCCATATCTGGCCTCCTAGCAGTTTCCAAATCATTGTCCTTCAAGGATGATCTAAAGAGTGTTAACCTGTTAAACAAGCTGTTAGTAAACTTCCGCCTAACCTCAAGGAAGCTTGGTCAATGCATACTGTTAGGCATAATTGGCAGTGACCACCACTCTTAGACTTTAATAACTCGTCGAAAGAAAAAGCCGAGGGGCAGGAAAGATTACGTGTACTTAACTCTAAGGCAAAAAACGAGGAATCAGTTAAACCAAAAACAACCAAAGCTTTTGCAGCCAATAGCCAGGTACTAGTAAGGCTCAGGATAAGTGTAAGTTTCCGCCTTGCGTTTTTTGTAAGGGTAGTCATTCATTGTGGAACTGTGCTGTTTTTAAGGAAAAGAATGCTACTCAGCGAGCAAAATACGTAGCTGAACAAAAACGTTGCTTCGCTTGCCTCAATGGCAATCATAGTTTTCGGCATTGTTCACGCTAAAAAATGACCGAAGCCAGAGTGCGATAGCACACATAATGTCTTGCTCCATCGAGCCGAAAAAATATTTCCTCGGAAGGAAAATTCAAATGTCTCAAATGAGGTTGGAGCAAATAAATCCAAGGAGAATACGAACCCTTCCTCCCCATGTCGCTGTTAGTGATGTACATGACATTGAATCGTCTAAAGGTTTGTTGCCAATTGCAACACTTGGTGTATCCTCGAATGTAACCAGTCTCCTGACTTTGGTTCTTTGTGATAGTGCATCGACTCACTCTTGGGTGTCTTCGTCACTCGTTAACAGTCTCCGCTTAGTAGGGGAGCCCGTTAACTTGTCAATTAGTGTTTTCAATTCAACCACCACTGTTGAGACTCAGGGGGTCAAGTTTACAGTTTCCTCAGAGCCGAATAACAGTGAGTTCGTATTCCCTCTGTGTGCATATGTTAAAGACAATATTCGGATTGGTTCCGAATTAATCAATATTGCTGATTAGCAGAATAAATATCCACAATTAGCACCTTTTAAGCCCACGCAATATACTTATGAGGACGTTGAAGTTAATATAGGACAAGACTACTACCACGCCGTTAGACACATTGAATTCATCTTGGGAGATGATTATAACTCACCGTGTTCCGTTCGCCTACCGATAGGTTGGGTCATAAGTGGCCTCTTGCCGCCGTCCGTTGTTTCAATTTCTTCGTGTTTCAAGTGTGTTGTTGCAGATTCTTCTTTGACCGACCAGATAAAACCCTGGTACGAGTTGGAATCTTATGGTGCTTTCAAACAAGGCGATGCCCTTTCCGACGCGAATAAACATGCTTTATTCATCCTAAATTATGTAACCGTTCACAATGGCGAAAGATAAATTGAGCCTATGCTTTGGATTGATAATAATGTCAATCTACCAAAAAACTATTACTCGTCACTCGCTCAATTTAAAACATTGGAGAGAAGTTTAAGAAAATACCCTGAACTGCACGAAAGATACGCAGACAAAATCAGAGGGGACATCAGAAAAGGCTATGTCTTACCGTCGAACCGCATGATCCACGTAAGCGTTCCGATCGCGAGTGGTATCTTCCACACCATCTCGTCGTAAATCCGAACAAGCCGGATAAGGTGCGCCGAGTCCTGAATGGGGCTTCTAAGTTTCACGGCATATCCTTAAATAAGTCCTCATTGGTGGGTCCGGACCTATTCCAAAATTTATTTTTCTACTTTTGCGATTCCGTCAACACAAGTACGCCGTCTCCCCGGATATAGAGGGTTGTTCCTCCAGGTAGGAGTCATCGCCCGCGATCAAATTTCACTCCGTTTTTTTTCGATGTGATAGTTCATCAGTACACTCGCCATATATTCGGCGCACGGGATTCGCCTACGTGCGCCAATTTCGCGTTGCGAAAAACAGCAACTGATAATATATCCACATACCCTGAGGACGCGTCAGTCGTAAATGAAAAATTTTATATGGACGATTACTTGGATTCGTTCGGAAACGTTACCCATGCAATTAAAATTAGCCGCGGTTTGGTTTTGTTACTAAAGTTGGGAGGATTTAATTTGACTAAATTTGTCAGTAATGCTGATAAAATCACTTCAGCAATGAACCCCGAGGATTTCGGAACCTCGTCTTCACCCGTCAAGGAAATTTGTAAGGGTGCCTTACAATCATCACACGTCTCAGGTCTTAAGTGGGACCATGTGAAAGACACATTGGTTGTTAGTAGAGGCGTGGATCGTCCTCTCGATACGGTAATAACTCAACGAACCGTCTTGAGTTTCGTCTCTTCTGTGTTTGACCCTGTTGCGTTAGTAGCTCCATACACCGTTAGGGCCCGTCTTTTGCTTAAAGATTTTTTGGAAAATCAGTGGCCAAAGTCGGGACGACGAATTGCGTGAAGACATAAGAGATAAGTTTCTCGAGTGGCACTTCAGTCTCCCTCTCCTAGGGCAATTGACTATTCCCCGTTGTTACTTCACAGAGCCTGTGGATCAAATTGAGCTCCACATGTTCGGTGATAGCTCGCGGGACGTTTTCTGTGCGTTTGGGTTTTTGCGTGCGCGACTCTCAAGTTCGCACAAAACTCAAATATCCTTTATCTTTGGCAAAGCTTACGTTGCACCCATGAAAGTGCTATCTATACCGAAGCTGGAGCTTCAAGCTGCACTGCTCGCCACGCGACTCCGATTCTTCCTTCTTCAGGGGGGAGGATGTTGCAACGCACTTATAAAACAGAGTATAAATGAATATAAAAAAAAGAACAGTTGGCCGAGTGGCCTAAGCTAAAGTAACGAAACGCTCTAAAGAGACATGAAAAGTGACGTAGGTTTGAGTCCCCCACCTGCACATGTATCAATAAACGAAAAAAGTTGG